AACTTTAAAATGAGATTTTGTGATATGTTACTTTGAGGTAGTCTTTTGTTTATCACTCTAAAGATCGGAAAAATGTTAAGGATGGTCTCTAATTAAGAATTCTAGATATTGGAATATATATTTATATATTTATATATATATATATATATATAAATGTTTTTGGGCAGTTGTGGACATGTGATTTCTGGTTTGTATGGCAATTATAAAGTCATTATTATCTCTTTGATTAGACCCAAAGCCATGGACATAAGTCTATTGAAGTGATTAAACAAATAAAAACTTATTCAACAACCCCCATTCTCTAATATTTGATGTTTCCTCATATAATGAACACTAATCTCCCCCCTCCCCCCTTCAAAATGCCAAAAAATACAAGGAATCATTTCAAAACATCCCATAATGCCTCAAGTGAACAATATCTTTCTCAGCCTCGAGCCCATGGCTTTAATTATACCTAATATCTTAAAATATTGTTAACCAGTAAAAGCAGTGCCAAGTATCTTCTCCATATAAAGCATATTGCTGATAATCTAATTTTACTACACCTGATTTGAACTCATCATGGTGGAAATTAACATTCTGATAAATCCAAATTCCTGGAACCTTATATAAAGTATTACTGGTACTGAGACTACATGACAGTCTGTATTAGCTGTTAAGGAAAGGGCATCTAGTTAGGCTAATTTATAGAATTAACCTGTGACTCACCTTACATTTATTAATATACATGGACTTCATGAATTATACAATAGGTAATGGTGGAGTAAGAACATGTGTCTGGAATCGGAATGATTGAAACTTACGAATTATAAATTTCAAAACATTCTAAGAGTGCACTAGACTAAACATTTGTTTTCTGAATGCTTTACAGTTCTTTTCAACAGGAATGCACTAATACAAAACTCCACAATCAAACAAACACTTTGAAATGTTAGTTTTTACATGGGCACTTTCTTTTTAAGTGTTTCAACATGCAAGTTCACTTTCCTTTAGTTATAATTTGCAAGCTATTCATTTTTGATAACTCTGAATATATGCCTGTCTTGTATAACTAATTAACATGAACTATACTTTTTATTTTGTCTTATAATTTTTTTTTTCGTCTGAATCATAATTCTTTAATGTAATTCCAAGAGGACTGAATTTTTATCCACCCTGCATTTGGAGTTGACTTTCAAGATGGATCCTCAATTTTGTTTAAAGTATGTAATTAGAAGCTTCACAGAATAACCTTGACCAACTTGTTAAAGCATTAAGCAAACTAAACACGTGGTGTCAAGCTGTAGATATGCCAAGACTATTTTAATATTGCTTATTTTAGCTCATCTAACCATCCAATGTTTGACAAGAATGTGAATGAAAGATTCTTTGAAGTGCATATCTTTAACAGAATTTTTTTTCCTTAAAGTACTTAAACCATGAACCAGTTTTAAAAGGTTATTTAGTCTTTTACATATTTAATTTATTTATTAGTGTTTAATTGAATTATTTACTGTACATCAGGAAAGACACAACTATGACCAAACACTAGCAACTGCTTTATTTTATGACTTGTAAAAAATATGAAATTTCATAGAAAGATAACATGTTTATTTAGTTTATCAGAAATCATGAAAAGAGTAGGTACATCTGGTACATGTAAATAAACAAAACTAATAATTTCTCAACTTTATTAAGGCATTGTTCATTCATATTCAAAACAAAAGTAGTAATTTCTACAGTGTATTTAAATATTCTACACATACCTAATCAAAAGTAGTAATTTCTACAGTGTATTTAAATATTGTACACATGCCTAATC